TTGTATGGGTGAGAAATGTGGGTTGGTTTTGATTTGTTGAGTTATATATTAGTACTATCTATATTGTTAAATTTATGGTTTAGCCCGGCTGGATATTGTGTTTTTAGACGTTGTATCCACTTATTTTCATGGAACTCTAAAATCTTTCTAATGTTATCTGCTCTGAACTTTTCTATTCTCTCAATTATAGTGAATTTGGCATGGGTTTTGAAATCGTGTTTTTCTATGCGGAAATGTTGTTCTACAGGTAATAATTTTTCATGGGGAGTCGACTTAATTCGATTGCGATAATTAATTCTGTAGTGAAAGGGCCATTCAAATTTTCCTACATATTGTTTCTGGCATAGTGTGCATTCTAGGAGGTAAATTATGTTATGACTTCTACAGTTAGAATCGTGGTAGATTTTGAAAGTAGATTTAGGGATTGAGCTAGTGAATGAATTCGTGTTTGATATGGTTGCAACATAAATTTCTTTTGTTGTTACATGGTTGGGAAAATCCTGTTGTTTTTGTTCTTAGTTTATTACGGATTACCTTGTCCCTTGAAATGTGGTTACTACCTATGATAGATTCTTAGGTCTACGTTATGCAAGAAGGCCGGGTTCCTTAAACCATTTTTTTAGGTCTGGTTTGAGATGTAGTATTTCCCAGCGACGTTTGATTATTTGGGATAGTGGAGGCAGAGTGGGGTTGAAAGTGGTTACTAGAGGGATGCGGCTAGATTTATTTTTAATCTTGTACATTAGGGTGTCTTCTCTAGGTGTAGAAATTGCTTTATTTATTTGTTCCCTGATTAGGTGTTGTTTATAGCCACGTGTTGTGAATTGATGCTCCAGATTTTCAATGTGTTTATTTAATTCTTCATTGTTGGAACATATCCTTCTGAGTCTAAGTGCTTGTGAATAGGGAAGGTTCTCCTTCAGGTGTTTAGGGTGGGAAGTGTAGATAGTTGTGGGTGTCGGTGATTTTAATGTGTAGTGTCTTTTGTAGTTTCCTGTTTTCATCTATGTATATGCGGGTGTCTAAAAATGCTACTGATGTTGTGGATTTTTCATAGTCAAACTTAATTGAGTCGTGCACTGTGTTTAGGGTCATAAGGAATTAGGTAAGTTTGTCATCACTACCCGTGTATACAAAGAATATATCATCGATATATCTTGCATAGAATACGCAGTCGCTACCAATGATTGCATAGATATGGGTCTCCTCAAATTGTCCCATGAATATTGTAGCATATGATGAAGCTGCAATGGTGCCCATGTCACAACCTCTTATTTGAAGGTAGTGTGCTCCATTGAAGTTGAAAGTATTCAATGTAAGGACATGCTCCATGAGTTTTATAACTTCTGGGGGTGGGGGGTCTTGTTTTCTTCCTGATGTGTTTAATGTTTGAATAGAGTGACCTAACGTCCATAGTCACTAGAATAGCATTCTCTGGAACTGTTTGTATGTGATTAATTTTGTTCAGTAGATCTGTTGTGTCTCTTATGTAGGATTTTACTTCCTTAGCTAGCGGTTGTATGTAATGGTCTATGTATTTGCACATTTTTGTCGTGTGGCAGTTGAACGATGAAATAACCGGCCTTCCTGGGTTGTTGCTTTTGTGTATTTTAGGAGGGAGATAGAAACGAGCAGGTGTAATGTTTGTGGGTGTAAGTGCTGTGCATGTTTCCTTGTCGATTAGATTGTTGCGAAGCATTATGCTTAGTGAGCTAGTATTTTTTGGTATTCGGGAAGGGGATCTGAAGGTAAGCTTTTATAGGTTTCTTTGTCGGCTAGCTGTTTGTTGGCCTCTTTAATGTATTCTTCGATTCCCCAGATCACTGTCGCACCCCCTTTGTAAGCTTGTGTTATGATTAGGTCATCTCTATGTGTCAGTGTGTCGAGGGCTATACGTTCCCCTTCAGTAATATTGTCACGTGGCAGCTTATATAGTGAAATAGTATATATAGTAAACCAGTATATATAGTAAACCAGTATATATATATATATATATATATATGTGTGTGTGTGTGTGTGTCTGTGTCCGTGTGTGTGTTTGTGTGTGTGTGTGAACGCGTGTGTGTCTGTACGCGTGTGGTATATCTGATGAGTACAGAAAATGAGTGAAAACCTTTCAGCTGAAACTGTACTTTGCCTGGTAATCAAATAAGCATGCAAGGTAGCGTTATCCTGACTGAATACTACGCCTTTTCTCTTATTTTAGATTACTTTTCTTCAAATTTTGCCTTCTCTTGGACTCATTATGAATAATATTTGGTCTAATCAATCGTCAGTTTCTCCTATAATAAAAATATCCTTTACAATTCCATATTATACAGAGAATCAATTAAGAGTAGGTTCGTTTTGGAGGCGTTACAATTAACAAGCCATTCCTTGCCCCCTTAAACAACAAAATGTAGATCATTTTTTAGATCAGCTGCCAATTTCACCTTATCGAACCACTCAAACTTACTATTGAGATAGTGGTTGTGTCATCAACATAGATATCAAGAAGATCGTTGTGCATTTTAATGGACTCTGGTGTTAAATTGACAGTAAGAGTTTAATTGTTGATTTATTATAATTGGCACACTTCCTCCCAGCCTGAAAGTTTGGCACAACACGATATTCTTCCCTGCTGTTCGACTGACCTTATGCGTACGAAGTAACCAAATAATAATAATAATAATAATAATAATAATAATTAACGTTTGACATACCTCAGGGTAAAATTGGAAATTCTAACGTTGTAACTTGCACTTAAATAAAAATTATTGGATTTTAGTGTAACAATTATTGAAGTTTAATAAAATTTTATTTTGACAATATAAAACAAGAAATGAAGAGAATTTAATATGAAGATGAAAACAATGCCATAAAACATATTTTGCCTTATAAATATTTAGTTCATAATCAAATAAATATATTAGTTTTTATTAATATTTGCCCTCAACATCAGAATCGTAAGTGTCAAAGAAATTCAAGAATTAAAATGAATCCCATTAAATGAATGAATAATGAATTGAAATTGAGTTATTTCAACAAACAAGTACATTTGAGAAATAAACATTCACGTTTTATCAATTCACAAATCAAGAATACATTCCGCAAAGATAATAATACTTGTTAAAAATTAAAATAAGTGGTTAATTTTTTTTTAAAAAAAATAGATAATCTAACGCTGAAGAAAATTCAAAGATATATTATTGTCAATTAATCTAACATTGTAGCGAATGATTTTTCAATTAATATTGTTCTGAAAGTGGTATCAATAATCATCGGAAAATTAATACTATTTTTCTTTTCTTTCAATTGTTAATCACCCCAGAGTATTCGAATAGAATAGCTCCATTTTTTTTTCTAATATAAAATTCTTCAATTGTTTTTTGAGTGAAAGTATTTTCTCGAAATATTTTACTAACTTTCCTTCGTATAGTTTTATTGCTTTATTTTAAAATGCGTTTTAGTCATTGAATAGGAAATAAACAGTTATCTCATCAGGGTTCTTTACTGTAAGTTTTCACTGAGATGATAAGTTGAAACAATTAGTTAAAAACAAAAAAGTTCTGATAAAAATCTTAAAAATATAAAAGCTAGAAGAAAATATAAATAACGAAATTATAACAAAAATGCACCATTCTGCACCATCACTTAAAATATTATCGCCTATAATTATTTAAAAAAATATTTTTTTATTATTTTACATTTTTCTAGTAGCAAGGTTTTTAAACAAAAATAATAAGTCTGAAAAAAAAACAGCAATCTTGTTGTGAAATACGACAAGGAGAGATGATGACAAAAAATTACGGAAAAAATTAAACACTTAATGAATTCGTTTTTAATCATCCTTGAAATATTTTTTGTCATATATATATATATATATATATATATATAGGTGCGATGGATAAATTGTCGTATAAATTACGCTCGTGTGCGCGCACACACACACACACACAAAAAAAAACTTTGACATCTCTTTTTAAGACATATATTTACTTACACAAAAATTGATTTTTACATATGCACAAACATTATTTGCACGAGTAACCATGTAAAACAAAAACACAGAGTGTAAATGTAAGGGCTCATTCAGATTTGCACATCTTAATTTTTAATTAAAATTTTTATTCCAAGTTGAGAAAAAATTTTGAAAGTAGTTGTAATTGATTTAATAAAGGTTTTCCTTAATGAATATATAGTTTAATTAAGATTTGTTAATCATATGGAAAAAAAAATTTTTTTTTTAAATATTATCTTAGGAATTCATTTACTTTTGCACAGAACTTTATATATATATATATATATATATATATATATATATATATATATATATATATATATATAATTCTTATCTCTGCTTTAAGCGACGCGCATTTTTGAAATAACAAAATGAATTCTATTAAATGATCACAAAGATTTTTAGACTATTTAATTAATATTAATCTTTTTATCATCATGTTTTTTTTAAACTGTTACGAAAAGTACTCGTAGCTCATTAAATTTAACTTATAAACAAGCGAACGTACTGTATTTTCAGAGCAATTCTGAAACGCGGCTAGCGGTCAATTTGAGTCAATTGTCTAATTCATCCGATCTACAGTTTACATTTACCGGTTACTGCGCATGTTTAGCCTCTTCATGCTCACTTTTCCTCGGGTGACTACTATGTTACTACTTCATAAATAATTTGATTCCTGTTAGCTTCAGAGAACAACAATAATAATAAAAAAAAAGAATTGAATAAATATGACAAAACCTTCGCGTGTAATGGTCAAAACTGACGATGCAAACAATATATTAGAATCCCCATCACTGAAGATTTATTTCACTGATTCATCGATTTTTTTCTTCAGTAATTCTGAATTATCTCCTTCATCTGTTCTCCCATTTAGAAAACATGTATGACGCCATTTTGTCGCAAAATATCCGTCGTTGTTAAGGAAAAATGAAACATGACTCTGACTGAAGGATAAATGTTTTGCTACTCAAACGCAATAGTTAAGATTTATATTTATCTTTCAGAATAAGATAGATAGATAGATAGATAGATAGATAGATAGATAGATAGATAGATAGATAGATATTTTGTATGTGAACACGTCCTGTGTGAATACGGTTTGTACAGACTATGTTTATTTGAATAGTAAACTTTGGTTTTCTTGTGCCGTTAGCAACGTTGCAAGCGAAAGAGCATCAAATGCTAAAATTGCGATTAGCAAGTCATGCCGATGATAGACAGGTAGGGTGTGCAATGAGGCCCAGCTGTGAACTTATACAATCAGTTGAATGGAAGGCCAAGAACACTGAGGTATATAAAGTGATGATTCAATATCAGAAAAGAGACAGGAAGAAGAAAAGGTAAGATGAAAGGAGATAATGATAGAGAAAAGTCTGGTGGATCGACAAAGAAGACAAACAGTAGCGAAAAAAGTAACGAGCGAAGAGCTGAAGGCAGAGTGTAAAGAAAGAAGAAAAAACGGGAAAATGATAAACAGAAAAGGTTCAAAGTGCAGAGAAAGAAAGAAAGAAAGAAAGAAAGAAAGAAAGAAAGAAAGAAAGAAAGAAAGAAAGAAAGAACTGAAGCAAAAGGAAAAATAGAAAATAAGGATAAATACAGATCAGAGAAAACAGTAATCAGCAAATAAAAATAAGTAAACAAAAAAGGAAATTATTAATTAAAAAGAAAACAGTAAATAAAGTAAAGTATGGTACAAACAAGAAAGAAAGAAAGAAAGAAAGAAAGAAAGAAAGAAAGAAAGAAGCGATTACATAACTCTTTCAAATATTCCTCCAAAGTTCAAACTAAGAGAAACAAATGTAACCCACGTGCGACAACCTAGGTATGCGTAACCCTTTCAAACAAAAATATCTTTTCTTCTCTAAAAATGAGTCTATCTAGGAAGATTAGAAACAAAGTATAACTGAAAAGGGTGGAATCGGGGATGGCAGGGTGTATTTTTTATTTTTTTCTAATAACGGTCCGGTTCATCAACGTCTTTGAGAAAACAGTTGAAACTTGAAGCTGGCCATCAGAATAACCTTCGGGCGTCTTGCTTATACAAACCAATGATTAGTTAGCTCAAAACGCCTTCACCGCCCCAGCCCAACTAACGACAAGAAAGTGTCATTTGTAAATACGGACATGCTTCTTCTTCTTCTTCTTTTCTTCTTCTTCTTCTTCTTTTCTTCTTCTTCTTGGCATTAAATGACAGCCAATGCAATTGTGGTTGTGTAGGTGCTCAGAAAGCGAAATATCTTTGAAAACCAGTTTCGCTCTTACGCCTTCATAAGCTTTTATGCTTTCTTTTCTAAATGTTCTGAGAGATGTTTATTGAAGTTTGCATCATTGTGCTCAGTAGACACGCACGTCATTATTATCTTGAAATAAAAAAAAGTTCTGCACAGTTTTTCCTATGTAGAGATTTTTATAAATTCAATGAAAGTTATTTATTCATTTTTCCATGTGTGCTCCTGCCGTAGTAGAATATCAGTAGCTGGAGTAATGAAGAGAATAATGTGAGTTTTACTAATCAATATATTGTTTGTAACCAGTGAACAATTACTTATATCATTTTTTTTTTCATCTCTCAGAAGGAAAACAGAATCTGTGTTTATCGAGAGAAAATGTTTTATTAGTAGTCAAATATTAATTTGGCTATAATTATCTCTATTCTTAACATTTCGCTTCTTACTTTCTTTAGCTTTATTCGCGTGAATTTTCCAGTGAAATGTCTTAAAGTAACCTTGAGCTAGTTGCAAAATATCGCACCAGTAACGTAGCAGTAGTATTCAGTAGTTTCATTTGTCAATTAAAAATGTCATATTAAGAGAACATGGCAAATAATAAGGATTGTAATCATAAGACAAGATACTCCACAGACCATATGAAGCTGATGACTCTAGATTTAATAGCTTGAAATATGGTTAATGCCAGCAAAAAAATACGTACAAATTCATTTGTGGCTCAAAAGCAAAAATCATTATTTGTCTATATACTTACACACTGATTAGAGAGTATTTAATATGTTTACACAATATTTGTATATGTTTGTAATTTGTGTGGATGCGTATAAATGAATGATATGTGTCTATCAACTTCTGCTGACATTCCGTTCCATCTTCACAAAATGTCTCGTCATTTCTATGCTACAAAAGTTGACAACAGAAAGAGTGGGTGCTTAAGCACTTTTACAAAGCACTTTAGTATTAATCCAACACATGCTAAAACAGTTGTAATAAAATCCTGTTATCACCCAAATTAATTATAAGACAATCCTGCATACCACTGCAGATACTTTCGGTTCTTTCTGGGTGCTTCATTCATCTAGCTCTGTTTCAAACTTAGTAGTTTTGTATAATTAAGCGAACACAAAGATATGTATCTTAGAAGAATGTTTAGCAGACTAGTCTAGATAGCCCCTGCAAAAAAGTTCCCCATTGTTGTGCTCTTGTATTGAACGAAGCTTTATAAGTATTCCCATCTGAACCAGTGCGTTACATATACAGACGTAAACTTCTCTCATAAAAAAATTGATGTCTGATTGTTGCTGTCAGTCATTGTATGAGTTTAACTAATCCTACGCTTCATTGAACAATATTTTTATGCGTGTGTGTTAGAGACGGAGAGAAAAAACAGTAAAATAAATGGAAGAAGAAATAAAAGAGAAAAATTTGAAGATCTCACACTGTGTCCAAATATGAAATATGCTTCTTTTTTTTTCTCTCGACTCTTTTACTTGCACTCTCCCTCGTCTCTCTATCTAATCACGCACATACTTAAGTAAACGTACAGCCTTTGTCGAGTATTTTGGTTTCTTTTTTAATGTAGAATTACGCAGTGCCCCCTTCTCTGTTTTATTGTTCAACCGTTCATTATTCGCCACTGCGATGGGCGTTGAATGGCAAAAAATGGCAAAAAAGTACAAAAACGTGGATTGATAATCTGACATCTACAATTAGACGGACTGTAGCTGACAAACCCTGCATTAAAAACACACAACGCAAACGCAAACGCAAACGCAAACGCAACGCGAAGTAACGTATGCAATACAATAAATGAACAGTTTATACAAAGGCAAGCCGAGCAAACAGACGGGAAAATGTACCATCGTTGCCCTCTGTTAACCTATTTGAAGGGCGCCGTATTATGCCTTATTCATGGGAATTTAAATAGCATGTGAAAGAGTGAGGAACAGAGTTAAGTGGGGCGAGATGATGATGCGAGAGCGATGATGAAGAGAAAAAGGTAGAGAATAAAGAAATGAGTAAATGAAACAGGTTGAAAGATACATGAAAAATGAAAGATGTGGAAAACGAGAAAAAAGTTAAAAGATACAAAGAAAGAAAAAGACAAAAGAATGAAAGAAATATCAAGGAAAGAAGAAAAATAGAAAGAAAAGGAAAAAGAGAAAAGACAACGTACGCACAT